GTGGGAAACAATTATTTTGCTTTCATGCTAATAATTTATAGACATAAATAACTTTAAATACAAAAAATATAAAAATGCGTACAAGCTTAACGCTTATTCAATTAATCCATAGTAGATATTAATGTTTATTTTAATATAAGAAAAGTTAATGGTATTTTTTCTTATTTCGGTTTGCAATTTTTTATCGGTGATGATTCACTATATATTATCACTTTTACTATCAATTTATTTATTTTTCATAAACACAAGAATTTTTGAAGGTAGGACTCTCATTTTTTTTAGCATATTACGAAAACCTCATAAACCAACATCCGGTACTAATCCGTGGGATGATAATTGTTTTAGTCATTTGAATGACACGAGTCACTTACTTGGGTTGGAGACATGGTTGATCCACTTTTTCATCTCTATTTCTGAAGAATGAATTCCTCTGCATTTTAATATGAGTGTTATTTTTAAAAAATTTGCAAGTGGGTATTTTGCTAAATTTCTTGTCTAAAAATGGGCACTAAAATAACCCTTCTAAATAAGCAAATTGTAGGCAAATTGTTCTGTTTTTATGCTAATAATTCACAGACATCTCAATAATTTTAAAGACAAAAAAGTATACGAATACAAGCTAACCTCTTACTCAATTAATCCATAGTACGGAATTGTTTTTGGGGAAAAATACTTGTTCTATTGCTGCAGAAGTTGTAAACTCATTTTTTTTATAGGACAATATAAATTTTCCTATAAAAATCAGGTTTGCAATTTTTTAACAATGATTATTCGTTACGTTGTTTCACTTTTAATATAATAATATTTGTTTTTCATAGAAACGAGAATCTTTGAACAATAGCTTTTTCTTTTCTTTTCTTTTTCCATGTTACCAAGATTAGACTTATATGTAGACATCATATTCTCCATGGATCACGTATGGTTTCTCATTGTTATTTGTTCTTAAAAAGAAAAACGAAAGATACCGTTTTGATTCCCACCAGAAATGTTTACCTCCTTTTCATTTTATTTTTTTTATAACTATCCCCTTCTCACTTGCATCACATCACTCGTGCTTTTGAGCCGAACTTGACTTATTAGTGTTTTTCGATGGATTTTGGGTTCTTGAGTTCCCTATTGTTTGCTTTATTCACTTTTGACGAAACCTTGTTTTTTTCATAATAATCATCAATCAAGATAAAATTATTTGGAGATCAATAGACATAATAATAAATACTATTAATAGACTTAAATTTTTTTCAAAGTAGTGGAAAACATTAAAATGGTATGTAAAATACTTAATGACTTACATCTTTTTACAATGCAAGAGTTGGATGGTCTGTGACCATTCATTATTTTAATTGCATAAAATGCAGCGATATACTTTTACGAATTGTGTTAATTTTTATAAGACAGACAGACAAACCGATTTCATTTTCTCCCGTGCATCGGACGAGTGATACACTAATATATATATTTATATATGAAAATATTGACATGTTCTTTCTTTTAAAGATTAATCAATGACGGTCTTTTTCTTCTATGCATCCTACGAATAATGCACTGGTTTAGTCTTAAAAAGACAAACGAAAGACACCGTTTACATTCCCACCATGAAATGTTTGGGTTGGGTTTCTATTTTTGGTTCCCAAACGGCCCAATATGATCGATCAATGGACTCAACCTTTTCATCTGAAAGTAAATTTATCGGGCGGGTCATGCGTCACGGATCTGAATCCGGGTCCGGGTCCGGGTCCGGGTTCTTCAATAGAGAAATATTGGGCGTTTGGTTTGCAGCTTAAACGTGAAAGAGAAGGAGAAATAGAGAATAGAGAATAGAGAAGAGAGAAGAGAAATAGGGTTTTGGCCTCTGAAACTCACAGTGTTGCGTTTCGTTCTTTATTCATCTCTCTCACTCCAAACTTCGATGAAACCCTAGCCATGCATCATGCATTCCCCGCGATCAGGTTTACTATTCCTTCCTCTTGATTTTTCTCATTGTTTGACTCCTATTTTCGTCTTTTTCTATTTCCAATCATCACATCACTCTGTGCTTTTGAACAGAACTTGACTTAGTAGTGTTTTTCGATGGATTTTGGGTTCTCGAGTTCCTTATTGTTTGCGTTTGCTTCATTCGCTTTTGACGAAGCCTTGCTTTTTTTCTTTTATTTTTTTCTATTTTATTTTATTTTGATAAATGTGCTGTTTGATTCTAGGTTAGTTTTAGGCTTAGATGTTAGAATCTGTCACTTGCAGCTATGTTGAATGTTGCACATCAATTTGAGTATGGTGTTCCTGGTTTTTGTTGCACCCCTTACAATGGCAAACATTATGTGTTGATGAAATTAAAATATGAATTTAATTTTTTAATTTCATGATTATCTAGTTTTAGTACCTAAATAATCTTGAACACACTTACGGTTTCTCAAAGTTTCATAGAACGTGAATATGTCATGTTTGTTGGACAAATATTTAAAATTCTACACCTGTAAGGAGGAAAAGGCTTTTGTTGTGTTGTTATTGTTTCTTTAAGTAGTATAAGTTTCAAAAGGTTTAGTCAAGAAGTCCTTGATTGTTTCTTGAAGTCCTTTAACTGTTCAATTCTTAATTCATCAATTTGCTTTAGCTAAGAAGAATATATTCAAGAGCAACTTTCCTATTTGTGTTTCTTATACCGGTAAGCATGAGCTTGCTGTGAAATATATTATATCCTTGGCTTGGTGTTTTTGGTTAAGCTTGTGATATTTTTCTGTACATCTGTATCTTGTGAAAATTTTAAGTTTTGTAATTTTTCTGTACATCTGTATCTTGTGAAAATTTTAAGTTTTGTAGATGCTGCTTATTTCTGCAGGTGTAGCTGACTGAGATATGCTGATCACATAATTTTTTTTTTAATTACAAAAGTTAGCATTCTTTCATGTATCCAAAACGGTCTGGCCAAGATGGCCCTGTTTCCGGGCAGGTGCGCACAAGTGATAGGATCAAGTCAAGGCCAAACATGTATGGCCGACCATTCATGTATTACAACTCAAATCTTAGGCGCACCAGGAAAAGCAAGAACAAGACAAGGACAGCAGCTTCACAGATTGCCAAGATGTTGCGTCCAGGGAATCGGAAAGGAAAAGATTTGAATACTGATGTAAGTATCTGCATTTAAAATGAGTTCTAGAAGCATAATTGCTAATTACTATGGATATTTTATTGTTTAAATTGTATGGGTTCTGTATATAAATCACTCAGACTGTCAGGCATGACATTGGCGTCATGAATTTTTTCTGTCCTCTAAGTCAATTTGTGGATATATGAATATCTATGGAGTTATTAATAACATTTGTTATTTTTCAAATATTGAATGCTTTTTTTTTAGACTTATTTATTTGCCTTTTTGTCAATTTAAGTTTTGTTTTCATCCAAGGATAACAAGCAGGCTGAGGCAATCATGAAAGAACTATATCTTAAAATCCTTCTATTTCTAATCTTTGCTGCTTCTGTACTGGCTTGCAATTTTGCTGTGAGATCCTATTTCTCATTTTTATACCTTAGGTTTCCATATTTCTTAAAGCTTCCCCTGTTTTTTAGGAACCCTAATGATTGAGGAGCTGATTTACTTGATTTATTATTAGACAGCTTTGATTCTTTGCCTTGTTCTTCTTTGCTTGACTGTTGGCTTTGATCTTTGGATCTATCTGCTTCTTATATATGTAAACCATTATTCCATTTTTTTGATTCGCTGTCCTCCAATTCAAAATGTTTCTCTATCTGCCTCTTTCTTTAAAAGATTATTGCTCCCTCAAATTCTAATGTCAAGACTTTTATTTGGGCAATGGTACTTGATAGAATTAATACAAATGATCTGCTTACAGTTTTGTAGGCTTCATAAGTCTCATTCTCTTCTCTTGATGTTTGTGTTATGTGTTTTCAGAGTTTGGAGACAAAATAACATCTTTTATTATTTTGCGACCCTGTTGTATGTCAATTATTTCCTTCTTTGTACTGTTCCAAAGGGTGTGGGTTGACTGGGTTCAAATCCCACTCAAAGAATTTGTACAACCCCACCTAGTGGAGTAAGTTAAGATTGTCGTTGGTTGTGTGTGCTTCTGTGTGTATTGAAAAGAACTATATCTACACATGCAAATATTTGTTTTTTTACCAGAACAGTGAATATTAATAATTGGTTGTATACTTTATATTTGCAAAACGTTAACCTCTTCAGCGTGCTGCAAAATGTGTTTTGGATACTAACATTGTCTGTGTATCATGCACATAACCAAATTATGAAGTTACAGATGTTGTCTGATGTGCACGAAGGTCATTAACCTCTGCTTTACTGGATATGACCTTGCTATTCTGTGTGTATTTCTTTCACTTATTGCTTAGAATCATTTCATTTCCTGAAGTTGATCAGACAATAATGCTTAATAGTAATTCTCTCGGTTTACTATATGGGACATTTTAAATCCCTGGTTTGTTTATCTGTGCTTGTATTCGCAGTCTGGCTCTGCCAACCTTAGGCGTTCAACTAGGAAGAGAAGGCTTAATGTAAATCTTGAAGATTTCACAGACAGCTCTGGAGCTGAGGATGAAGACTTAATGGTGAGGTTTTATACTATGATATAAAATTTCGGGTGATAAGCTTGAATTCTCTGTAATTTGAGCTGAAGGTATGTGGCCATGTTTCAGAGACCTGCATATCAACCATTGAGAAACCGGATTAGCATTAGCGTCAGCCGGGATGATTTGATGTCTACTAAACGCAAAAGAGCAATGGAGAAACCTACACCTCGGCGTGAAGGTCTACGACCACGTCGCTCAAAGGCTGGCGCAAGAGAACGATTAATTTTAGAATCAGATGATGAGCAAGAGCTTTCAGAAGAGAAGGTTGAACAAGATGAAACAGAAAATGGAAATGATGTTGAGGAAAATGATGCAGATGATGATCAAAATGAGATTGAGGTGGACGCTGAGGGTGAGGATGAAGGTGAGGACGAAGGTGATGAAGATGGTGATGATGAAGAAGGTGAAGAAGAGCAGGATGGAAGAAGGCGCTATGATCTTCGAAATCGTTCAGATGTCCGCAGGTTCTCTATGGAGGAAGGGAAGGCCCGACAAAGATCTCCTCGAAGAGTGTTACATCAAGGTATGGGAACTAAAGTCAGCAGGGATGTAAGGAAGGGTGGTTCACGTGTTCATAAGCGTCATCACATAACAAGGCCTGAAGATTCTGATGACTCCCTTCTTGTGGATGAGCTGGACCAAGGCCCTGCTATTCCATGGGGGCGAGGTGGCAGCAGATCTGGCCCACCTTGGCTTTTCGGGGGCTTAGACATGCATGGAACATCTTGGGGATTAAATCTTGCTGCATCAGGTTGGGGTCACCAGGGTGATGCTTTGTCTACTCTAACTTCTGGGATTCAAACTGCTGGACCAAGTTCTAAGGGAGGAGCAGATATCCAACCCTTACAGGTTGATGATAATGTTAGTTTTGAAGATATAGGTGGGCTCTCTGAATACATTGATGCTCTAAAGGAAATGGTTTTCTTTCCATTATTATACCCAGATTTCTTTGCAAGTTACCACATTACTCCACCTAGAGGGGTGTTGTTATGTGGACCCCCTGGTACAGGGAAAACATTAATTGCAAGAGCTTTGGCTTGTGCTGCTTCAAAAGCTGGCCAGAAAGTTAGCTTTTACATGTGCAAGGGAGCAGATGTACTAAGCAAGTGGGTTGGTGAGGCTGAAAGACAATTGAAACTACTCTTTGAGGAAGCACAACGGAATCAACCTTCTATTATCTTCTTTGATGAAATAGATGGACTTGCACCTGTGAGGTCTAGCAAGCAAGAACAAATTCACAATTCCATTGTGTCCACTTTGCTTGCTTTGATGGATGGTCTTGATTCTCGTGGACAAGTTGTTTTAATTGGAGCTACCAACAGGATTGATGCTATTGATGGAGCCTTGCGACGTCCTGGTAGATTTGATCGTGAATTTAACTTTCCCTTGCCTGGTTGTGAGGCACGTGCTGAAATATTAGACATTCATACTCGTAAGTGGAAGCATCCTCCTCCAAAGGAACTGAAAAAGGAACTTGCAGCTAGTTGTGTTGGTTACTGTGGTGCTGACCTAAAGGCACTCTGTACAGAAGCTGCCATTCATGCTTTCCGTGAAAAATTTCCACAGGTTTATACCAGTGATGACAAATTTCTCATAGATGTTGATTCTGTCAGGGTAGAAAAGTATCATTTTATTGAAGCTATGTCTACAATCACTCCTGCTGCTCATAGGGGAGCTATTGTGCACTCTAGGCCATTGTCTCTCGTAGTTCAACCATGTCTTCAGAGACATCTAGAGAAAGCCATGAGTATTATATCTGATATTTTCCCTCCAGTTTCTGTTGCATCAGAATTGACCAAACTTTCGATGCTTTCTTATGGGTCTGCAATTCCACTTGTGTATCGGCCTAGGCTTCTACTTTGTGGTGGTGAAGGTACAGGGCTGGTAATTATCATGGAACCTTTTAACTTTATCGAAAAAAATTCATTTCAACAACTGAATACTGAATATACTTACTGCTCTAGTTTAACAGGATCATCTTGGCCCTGCGGTTTTACATGAACTGGAAAAATATCCTGTACATTCATTAGGACTTCCATCTCTTCTGTCAGATCCGAGTGCAAAGACACCGGAAGAAGCATTGGTACATATATTTGGTGAAGCTAGAAGAACAACTCCATCAATTCTCTATTTACCACAGTTTGATGTTTGGTGGGAAACTGTGAGTACATATATTAATTATCTGCACTTGTATGCTAAATAAACTGATTTGTATGTCTGAAATTTATATCTCATTCAGACTGGTTTCCTGTTATTGTATTGCTGCTTTAATGCAACCTGAGTTTGATTGGATTAATAATCTTGCAGGCTCATGAACAACTCAGAGCTGTTCTCCTGACTTTGCTAGAAGAATTGCCATCTGACTTACCTATCTTACTACTCGGGACATCCTCAGTTGCACTTGCTGAAGTAGAGGAAGTCCCTCCTTCAGTTTTCCCTCATCGCTCAGTGTACGTTTGATCTAATTTACAGCAAATATTTGATACGAGTTCCAAGCTAATGTTTATTTTTCTTTATACCAGCACTCTGGCTTTATGCAATTATTTTTTTTTCTAGATTTGGGGTTTTTTGTATGTTGGAAATTAGTAGTGGAGTTCAACACGAAGATTTTTTTCCTTAACAGAAAAAGTCTTAAGTTTGCTTATGTAGAGCGACTGTTTTTCATTGTCAAAGTTACCCTTTGTAATTTTTCTCAAAATCATAATTTATTGAAGGATAGATCAGTGGTCTACATCACATTACTTTTCATACATCTCTACTACTATTAGTTAAATGTATTTTGGATAATTGAACGAGAGGTAAAAATCTCAGCATTGCAAATGCTAATGCTTCCTATCAGTATTAAGTGCCCTTTCTTTTTACCAAAGTTTCTATTGTTGCTTATTCTTACAAGTATTTGAATAACTGTAGTTCAAAGGCTAAGGCTGAAAATTTCTAAGAATGTTAGTTGAGTATTCTTATTCAAATCTGAAAAGTATTCCTCACGCCTGGGCTCTTGTTTCTGGTTATATGCTCACCCTCTATTTCCCTTTTGAACAGTTATCAAGTGAGCATGCCATCTACGAAAGATAGGACTTTGTTTTTCAATCATTTAATAGAAGCTGCTATGTCAGTATTGTTGGAGGGAATCAGCAAGAAATCCCAGGATACAGGATGCCTTCCTGAACTTCCCAAGGCACCAAAATTGGCTAGTGGTCCGAAGGTATCTGAGCTAAAAGCAAAGGTGGAAGCAGAGCAACATGCACTTCGGAGATTGCGAATGTGCCTTAGAGATGTTTGCAATCGGTATGTCAACCTATGCTTAATTTACAATTGTTGGCTTCGCTTGGCACATTGATACTGTTAGAAATATAATATAAAATCATTTATGTGTCTTCATCTAATAGCTTAAGTTTTTGGGAGAGTTGGCTATTGACATGGTATTAGAGCCTCTATGATCAAATGATTTAGAGTTCAATCCTTGCTACATGTTAGAAATATAATATAAAATCATTCATGTGTTTTCACCTAATAAAAGCTTTTGGAAGAGTTGGTTCTTGACATACACCTTTAATTAAATGCATGCAGCCTCTCTCTCCCCCCTCTCAATATATTTTTTGTTTCCCTTTTGCAGGATGTTGTATACTTGCTCCTCATCTTATTCCTCGTTTTTTTTTTTTCAGGTGCATGGGATGCTGTGTCCAACCTGAGGTTAATACGAGTGCTCGACTTCATGAGTTATGAAGTATTGAAGCGGAATAAGAAGATCACGGATGTTGTGCATGCAGGTATAAAATGCCTTTGCAGTATGAAATATTTCTCGAATGTATGGCGGTTGTAATACAAATGGTTTCTTTAAATGTCATTTATACATACTAGTATTGCTGTTTTGCTATCGTGATTCTGAAACATTAGGAAGTTATACTAATTAAGAAAAGCAATAACGGAAGATGGAAGTGTGAATATTTTGACCAGAACCGTTCTTTTGGTCTTAAGCATGGGTGAGGCATGATAGTGTTGACTTAGAGAGGCATCTTTAAGAATTGTGGATTCTCTCTATACTTCTTCAAGTTGTTGCTTGTCATGCACTTGTTTTTTATATGATTGACTATGCTTGTAAACAAAATGCTATTGGTGTTACTTGATTTCCAATGATTAATTTCTTGTTCACTTTTTTCATTCTTCCTGTAAACTTCCTGTTCAAATGCTGATTTTGAAGTTTTGTTTTGGTTTTTTTTTTCTCAATTGGGTTTTATAGCAGAAGACAAGTCACAAGAAGATTCTGTACCATCAAAGTCTTCGCAGGAGCATCAGGCAAATGACATAAATTCTGAAAGGCTGGAACCAAAAATATCAATTGATGCAAATTTGCAGGGAACTTGTACAAATAGCCTTGCTGATCGCAGCAGTCTTGATGATGTCACAATGCTAGATGGTGAATTTTCAAGACAAGTGGAGTCTGTCAAGAAGCTTTTTGTCAAACGTAGTGAAAATTACAGCATTCCACAACTTGAAAGGCTTTACACGAGAATTATGAAGGGCGTTTTTGAAACCAAAGATAAAGGAACGAATGATGATATCAAGACTTCGGTTTTGAGGTTTTTATTGAATTTTGTAGAGGATGATGCAAATTTCTGACTAATCGGTTTTCCCTTTCTCCCATGATGATTTAGATAAAGAAAAGATTTTTACTGTAAAGTCGGGATTTTTTAATTTCAATGTTATTTGATTGAGTACAAGATTTCCTTTCCCCTCCCTCCCTTTCCCTGGGCCAGAATGGTCCAAACCAATGTATAGTGGAGTAACCATTTATTCTTTCTATATTCCGGAAGATTGTAATTACAGGATTTTAGGATTAGATGTCTCTTCGACTTGCGAAAGCCTAGAGCTTGAAAATGTTAGCCAGAGTGAGATAACCTTTTTTATTGCTCTCAACCACTAACTAGTAACTACCATGTCCTACTGTAAAGTAAATATTTTTATGTTCACTAGCATATCCTCTCTTTTTAAAATGCCAATTATTCCATTTATTTCAAAATGATTATAACTTCACAGGTTCTAATTTGGGAAAAATTGTTTGTCATTTTATAAAATTAAGATACTTATTTCAAAATGATGATTAGCTGGAAGGAACGGGCATTAATCCCGTCTAATGTATTGGCATTAGGTGAGTTTAATGACTACCAAATTAAAATCGTTTTTTTTTAATAAAAAATTAGAAAAAAAATACAAATATCTGGCAATTTTGCACACGTGGGATATGTTGTGTGTGCAAGAACTTTTCCATGTGACATTCAAAACATTAATAAACATTTAGATTAATTGGAATTGGTATTTTTTATATTTCTTTGGTAAATTCTTGCTGAGTTTTAGCATGGTGGCAAGCAATTAGCTCACATGTCAAACATTAATTGAAAATCCCTGTTTCACAATTCACACACACATCCAGGTGTTGATTCCAATACAACCATATGAACAGTGCAGTTTTCTTCATATTGTTATTGTACAAGAGAAAACTAGGAACCAAAAGGGAAGCATTGAAGCATGCAATTTCTATGCTTCCAATATTATTGTGCTTATTTTGGCATACTTCTTAAGTTAGTCAACATCTGAGCAGCAGATGATTCTCTTGCTTCACGGGGATTGGAACACACCTTACCCCCACGTGAACACTCAAACTCCACTCCTTTAACAGTTACATTAGCTTGGAATCCACCTTCAAATGGAACACTTGTTAATAAGTATCATAAGGTGAACAAAAAAAGTACACAGATATGTGAAATGATAAAAATCTCAATTGTATCTCATTAAATTTAATTAAAAAGGTATACTGTTAATTGTGCATTACTCAAGTCATGAGAAGAATTATGCCGCTGATAAGTTGGTAGGACCCAGTTGTTTTCATGACATACACCATCTAGTTCCTGCACGATTAACAGAATTTAAGTACTTTTTTTTAATGAAGATAAACTGGATGGTTGGTATGTACTACTAATTAATAAGTTATATTCTAGTATGTTTCTTAAGACAATAGATCACTCCCAAATATATATATATATATATATATATATATATATATATATATATATATAGAAGAAAAGAGAATATATCACAGAACAGAGATAGGTAAGTAATATGTCAAACTGAGGGGCTTGCCAAAGATGTATACAACACAAACTGAAAAAGGTTAAGATCCCACATTGCACTCTTTGAAAGTAGCTTTACTCGTATTTTGGGTATAATATATTTGGATACTTGAATGGATTAATAACCTCACCATACTCCACCATTAGTTTTTGTTGTACATTAAATGTGTCCAGCTGTAAGGGTGAAACCACCCAATACAAATAGTTTTTAAATCACTGTAGTCTCGTATCATTATTGAATCATATCTCATGTCTGTGCCAGAAATTAGCAACAAAAGAGAATAATATACCCAATACAATGCTTCCAAGAAATTAGCAACAACCATTTGATATTGTGTGCACAGCACTAAAGAGAATAATAAAGCATGATATATGTGGTAAAATATTTTCTCCTTTTATATCAAATGCCTGAAATTACTTAGTGATGGCTTCAATGCAGTGCACCATAACTACAAACACCGATATATACCTATTATATTGATAAATAACCCAACAAAACATATTTTCAAGTTTAGCGTAGTCATAAAAAAAAATTCAAATGTAAAAACTAGTAAGTAAACAGAACATGTCTTGCCTGGCATGGATTTTGCAAGATAAAGACAGCCTCTGACAATTTTTTCCTCTTAAAAGATACACTTTGTTGTCCACACGTCCTTTCTTGATTCCTTAACCATATATCATTACAACCTTCTATAATGGATTCTACCATTAATTCATAGTAGTTGAGGTAGTTGGATGTACTCAATATAAAAAGGACCCATTGGGTTTCTCAATGAATCAAGAAAGTATTATTCAGACAAAACACTTCTTCTACTTCTTCTTTTCTCCATGGTATCAAGAGCTGGTTATATTCCAGTCTCTCCCCTGTTCTGATTTATTTTTAAGTCATTTTCCTATTCCTTTTTTTCGTTTTAGCCACTGCCCAAGCCAGAATCCTTACCTAGGAAACTCCAACCACGAAACCAAGGCCACCATTAGGTTCAGAACAAAATTCCGAAGCCAGCCCACAGAAGACCCGTAGCAGTATTGTTCATTACTGTAGCAGTACTGTTCATTACTGTAGCAATTATTGTTTCACTGTGGCCAAGATTGCTCTCATTCATTGACTTTGGCGAGCAACCCTCTTCCTGTTTTGAGGGTCAAAATCGTATTTGGAGGAACTTTTTTCTGGGTACCTGTTAGAAAGCCATGGATGCTGAAAATTCTGAAATTTCGTCTGGAACCTCACCCCTTCCCAACTCTTCGTGTTCTGGAGACAACCCAGCAATGCAGATCACCAATCACCGTTTAAACGGTAGGAACTATGTGCAATGGTGTCAATCTGTTAAGTTGTTTATCCAGGCTAAAGGGAAGATGGGGTATCTTGACGGAAAAAAGGTAAAACCAGCAGAACGTGAACCTGGTTATGATGCTTGGGTGACTGAAAATGCTTTAGTCATGACATGGCTGACTAATTCTATGGAACCAGATATCAGTCAAACTTATTTATTTCTTGATACAGCTCAAGAAATTTGGGAAGCTGTTAAAGAATATTACTCTGACCTGGGAAATGCATCTCAGGCTTTTGATCTCAACACCAAGGTGAAAGAATTACGCCAAGGAGGGATGACTGTTACTGAATACTTCCTTGCCCTAAAAACACTGTGGCAAGAGTTGGATCTTTATGATAAAGCAGACCTTCAAGGTTTAGAAGCTAATGCAAGGTTCAAAAATTATATAGAGAAAAGGTGTCTCTATGATTTTCTTGCTGGCCTTAATTCTGATCTGGATGATGTTCGTGGAAGAATATTGGGGCAAAACCCATTACCTTCCCTTGCTACTGCTTTTTCTGAAGTACGAAGGGAGGAGCTTCGCGGAAAAGTAATGTTGGGTGATAAGGACTCTAAGTCCTCTGATGGGTCTGCCCTTATAGCAAAGAATATCGTTCGTCCTTCTGGGGACTCAAAACGATCTGACCGTTGGTGTTCTCATTGCAATAAGGGTGGTCACACCGGTGAAAAATGTTGGGAAATTCATGAAAAACTACCAAACTGGAAACCAAAAGGACAAAACAAGAATCGTGCTAATCAAGTATCTTCCGAAGATAAAGGGGAGGTGTCTCATGTCCCTTCAAACCTTGATGGTGTTTTCCTCTCTAAGGCCCAGTATGAGCAATTTCAGAAACTGATATCTCAACCTGCCGAGGCAACTAGTCATGTTGCTCAAAAAGGTATGACATTCCATGTTGAACGTAGTAATCGTTGGATTCTTGATTCAGGGGCCTCTGATCACATGATAGGTAATGCAACCTTATTTTTCTCCTATACCTATACCCCTTACTATCACCCGTCACGAATAAGAACAGCTGATGAGAATTTCTCCACTATTACAGGGAAGGGATCCATTAAACTTTCTGAGCATATTATTTTGAATTCAATCCTTCATGTTCCCTCTCTTACCTGTAACCTCATCTCAATTAGCAAACTTACTGCTGAGTTGCATTGTGTTGCTAAGTTCTCTGCAAATGGTTGTACCTTTCAGGAACAGGACTCGGGGACGATGATTGGCAGTGCTAGAGAGGAAGAAGGGCTATACTATTTTAAAAAGGATCCTTGTGAAAGGAGGATTTTTTCGAACCACTCTCTATGTTTATCAGATGACTGTAATGATGTTTTGTTATGGCATCGTAGGTTAGGACACCCAAATTTTGTCTATCTTCAGAAGTTATTCCTGAACTTGTTCATCAATAAAAAGCCAAGTTCCCTTCTTTGTGATATTTGTCAGCTTGCAAAGCATTCTCGTGCCACTTATTCTCCTAAAAAAATATCATGAATCTTCTCCCTTTACATTGATTCATAGTGATATTTGGGGACCTGCTCGTGAAAAAAATGTCTCGGGTGCTCGTTGGTTTATTCCTTTCATTGATGATCATTCTAGGGTATGTTGGGTATACCTTTTGAAAGATAAGTCTGATGCGGCATCCACCTTTAAATACTTTCATGCTATGATTCAAACTCAATTGCAGACCTCTATCAAAATTCTGCGAACAGACAATGGTACTGAATATTTCAATTCTGTTCTGTGAGATTACTTAAACCAGCATGGAATTATTCATCAAAGTTCTTGTCCTAACACCCCTCAACAAAATGGGGTGGCTGAAAGGAAAAATAGACATCTAATTGAAGTTGCTCGAGCTCTCTTATTCACAATGTATGTCCCTAAATATCTATGGGGGGAAGCCATCTTGACAGCCTCTTATCTTATTAATCGGATGCCTTCTCGGGTACTACATTTTCATTCTCTTTTATCCTGCCTTACTAAATCTTTTCCTTCTTTCAATGCTCTTTCTTCTCTTCCTCCCAAAATATTTGGCTGTCTAGTTTTTGTGCATATTCCTCCACATCAAAGGTCCAAACTTGACCCTAAATCCATCAGATGTGTCTTCATAGGATATTCCCCTAATCAAAAAGGTTATAAGTGATACTCACCTTCTCTCCATAAGGTTTTTGTTTCCATGGATGTTACCTTTTATGAGACACAATCCTTTTTTTCCCCGACTTCTCTTCAGGGGGAGTCTATTGGTCTTAGTATAGATGAAGATAAGCCTGAGAAACCAAATGATGCTGCTGTCTTACCTTGGCCTTTGGAAACAGGGGGAGTTATTGGGAAGGAAACAGGGGGAGCAACTATACCTGAATCTAATGATCCTCCTTGTGATCCTTCTGGTAAATGGGGAAAATTTTACAGCGCAAAACACATGAAGATACTCTAGACTGCTAGGATCCTGACTCGAGTCCTTTTTCCAGCAACCCACTTGAATGTACTAGTACAACCAACATTGATATGCCTATTGCTCTTCGGAAAGGTACTAGATCTTGCACTGCTCATCCTATTTCTCATTATATCTCATATGAAAAGTTGTCTCCAGGTTTTCGTGCTTTCAACACTATGTTAGATAGTACCAAGATACCCAAAAATATCCAAGAAGCACTTGATGACCCAAAATGGAGGAATGCAGTATTAGAAGAAATGGATGCACTTACAAAAAATGGAACATGGGAGTTTGTGACATTACCTAAAGGAAAGAAAGTTGTTGGTTGCAAGTGGGTGTTCACAGTAAAATTCAATGCAGACAATAGTATCAATAGGTATAAGGACAGATTAGTTGCTAAGGGATTTACTCAGACTCATGGGATAGATTATCAGGAGACATTTTCTACTGTTACCAAACTTAACACTATCCGCGTTCTGCTATCTCTTGCCGCCAACCTAGATTGGCCATTGCAACAGTTAGATGTTAAGAATGCCTTCTTGAATGGTGATCTACATGAGGAAGTTTACATGGATCCACCTCCTGGTTTTGAAAAAGGGATGGTTCTGTGTGCAAGTTGCAGAAGTCTCTCTATGGACTTAAACAATCTCTCAGAGAATGGTTTGGAAAATTTACTCAAGTTGTTAAGGGAAAAGGGTTCATCCAAGCTCAGACTGATCACACTTTATTTTTTAAATACTCCGACAAAGGAAGAATTGCTATTCTGATCGTTTATGTTGATGACATAATTGTCACTGGTAATGATAGCGAGGAGATAACCTCTTTAAAAAAATGTTTAGCTGACCAGTTTGAACTAAAAGATCTTGGATCTCTCAAATATTTCCTTGGCATAGAAATTGCTCGGAGTAAGGAAGGAATTTCTTTAACTCAGAAAAAATACATTCTAGACCTGTTGCAAGAAACAGGTATGCTTGGGTGCAAGCAGGCAGAGACTCCAATTGAAGCTAATATCAAGATGGGAGTTGAGGACGGGGAAGATGTTGATAGGGAGCAGTACCAGAAACTAGTGGGGAAATTAATCTATTTGTCTCACACTCGTCCTGATATTGCTTTTGCTGTAAGCATGGTTAGCCAATTCATGCATTCTCCTAAGGAAAAACACCTTAGTGTTGTTTATAGAATTCTCAAATACCTCAAAAATACCCCTGGTCGAGGAATTTTCTTTAAAAAAGGGCACAAAAGGATGATTGAAATCTATACAGATGCAGACTGGGTTGGCTCTGCAATGGACCGAAGATCTACTTTAGGATATTGTACTTATGCCTGGGGAAACCTTGTGACCTGGAGAAGTAAGAAACAAACTGTTGTTGCAAGAAGTGGTGCAGAAGCGGAATTTCGGGCTCTAGCCCATGGTATTTGTGAAGGAATTTGGTTATGAAGGCTTCTGGAGGAGTTGAAGATCTCTTATTCCCTACTTATCAGATTATATTGTGATAATAAGGCTGCTGTCAGCATTGCTCAAAATCTTGTTCATCATGACAGAACAAAACATGTGGAAGTTGATCGTCACTTTATCAAAGAGAAATTAGAAGACGGTAGTGTATGCTTGACATATATACCTACCAAGGAACAGACGGCAGATATCATCACCAAAGGATTACTTAAGCCGACCTTTGAGAATTTAATCAGCAAGTTGGGAATGATCAATATATATCTCCCAACTTGAGGGGAGTGTAGAATATGTAGAATATTCTAGATAGTATTTATTGATGTAGTTAGTAGTTGTATATTTAGTTGGTAGTTGTATATTTATTGATGTAGTTGGTGGTTGTATATATATTAAAGTAGTTGAGGTAGTTGGATGTACTCAATATAAAAAGGATCCATTGGGTTTCTCAATGAATCAAGAAAGTATTATTCAGACAAAACACTTCTTCCACTTCTTCTTTTCTCCATTTATGCTAGTTGAATTCATTAGACCTGGACAATTCTCAGTGGGCGGGGGGATACCCCAAGAAACAAACACAATAAAGAGAGAAAAAAAGAAGGAAAAAATCAAACTGATAGAAGAATGCACCAGAGAAAAAAAATAAAAAACAAAACACACAGTGGATGGAAAACATACCAACTAACATTCTCCGAATTTTTTCATCACAAATAGCAATCTCATCCTCTATCTCGCGCTGCTGAAGGGCCTGAACGAAGTAACTAAGTCTAAGATATATGCAAATATAAAGTTTTTGAGCATTCAAAAGATAGTAGCAAGGTAATCCTTAAAAGTAAGTAAAACCAGTAAAGTACGTACAAAAGGAGCTCTCAATGGGAAAAGGAGGCAGAATACTATTTTAATGGTCCAATCCATATACAATTGCCTATAATTAACAGTACAACATTTGGCATACAGTGTCTGGGAGTATGTACATTGTGAACTATCTGCTACTCTTTATTTTCTAAATGTAAAAATTTGCAGCAAGTAAGACAAAAATAGTGGAAACAAGAAACTTATTTCACTTCAAGTGTGGATTCACTCAAATTACTAATACATAATCATGTATCTATATGTTTTAGGTTAACATGTATATACTTTCTAGGATAACAATTATACATGTTTTAGGTTCCCATGCAGAGCTAATGGCAAAGGATATAAAGTATATGCATCCTTGTCATTAGAAAAAAACAATAAAAAACTTACCAGCTCATTCCTCTTTCGCATTAGAGCAGTTAGGGCAGTTTGTGACAATATCTTTTCTGAATCTAAAAGAATTTGGAGCTTCTCTAGATCTGATTTAGAATTATTTGCAATCAGAGTACGGTCATCTGCTGTGTCTTTTCCAGTTGACGTATTGGGCCTATTGCGACAAATTTTGTAGCAAGAAGCAAGATTGTTGGTTCCACTTTCAGTGATGAGCATCCTTGTGGAATCAACATTCACAGCCTGCCAAGCCGATGACATTCAGCTAGATGTGAGATAATAAACAATGGAATTAAGTCCAGGAATAATTATAGCAGTGAGGTTCACCTCGTTAAAAATATAATTATGATGAGAGATAATAAACATTGGAATACAACAGCTTACTGTAAAGCATCATATCAACCCAACATCTTAAGCTTTAGGTGAAGGCCACCTTAAAAATTTTATATTATATTTCTGTAACATGCCATCTCACACGAAAGCTCATTGAGCTTGAAAGGTGAAAAATGTATAAATTTACCTACCTGTGCTAAGAAACTTTACAATTTTTTTTAATTATTTATTAATAGAATTTGGGCGGTGAGGATCGATCTCGTGACTATTTAGTCACTAAGATTCTAATACCATATAAAGGATTATATTAACCCAAAAGCTTAAGCCGTTAGATGAATAGCCGTTAGATGATACACATATATGCATACGATATAGGTAAGTTTCAATTTGGAGTATAGTTGCATGACTTGCATCTAGGATTCTCGTATACTCTTATTGGAGAGTACAATTATACGATATTTAAAAGAGCACATACTTGATGGATATTGGTAGAAAGGGGTCTGGCTGATGGTGGCTGGCGGCAGTGAGGTGCCTTACTCTGGTCGTCACAAGCATCCTTGGCTGAAAGAGCTAGGCTTGAGAAGAAGTGCTGTGAAAAAAAGAGAGGTAAGCCAAAGGTCTAAGAAGATGACGATAGGAGTTATCATCATCAAAATTAGTCACGGATAATTTTGTCCAAAAGAAACTCTGAACAGGTTCATCATGTTTTGAAAAAGGTCTTTTTTCATAAGTACAAAATTCTGGCTAGGGAAAAAAGAGAGCACAATTTCAGCTTTTTAAGTGCCTCATCCCCCCCCCCCCCCCCCCCCCCTTTCCACAAAAGACACATCCAAATGTGCTCTAAGGAAAGCAATTAACTCAATAATTAGATGAGTTGATAAGTTTCAAACCTTATCATCACTGGCAGAGCCATTTGAGTAATATTGCATAGAGGGATTGTTTTTTTCTTTATCTTTACCAACTTGTATAGTATTGCCAACATCCTGGCGTTTTCTGTTATTTTGATATGGAAGAATTGAAGATTCATTGACATCCATTTCACAGGGCCCCTTCAAAGAATCAGATCTAAGCGTACAGCTTCCATTGTTCCCTTTCTGCTTTGGTGATTCAAAATTATCACTGCTTGGCTTACTATCAGGACCAGTAGACATGTCCCGATTCTATCACTTCAGGGCTGTTCACCATTATATTTTTCTCTGTTACTCTTGAATCATGCAAACCATTTGAGAATGCTTCTCTGCCAAGATAGATATATTACACAAATAGTCATGCTCATCTTATGGAGATAGTTTCCAAAGAAAACATAAACTGGAAATGAATGATAACTAGAGGAACATCATGTTAAGGCTTTGAGACTGCCAATATACAGATGAGCTTGGAACCTATTTATTGAAAAGAAGTTTTTGTATATTGATATTGAATAAATTACATGAGTGAGTATTTATACAAGAAAGAATCGCTAAGAATGACTAAGCGATGACTAATCAATCCTATCACAATCCTAATCACAATCAATTCTAATCAATCACAATTAATCCTAATCAATCATAATCAATCCTAATTAATAGGAAATAAAAACGGAAACATGTTTGAATTCTAATTTTCTACACTCCCCCTCAAGTTGGGAGGTAAATATTGATCATTCCCAACTTGCCAATCAAGTCTTCGAATGTTGGACGGTGTAGGCCCTTGGTAAGGACATCTGCCGTTTGCTCTTTGGTTGGAACATATATCAAATGCACACTTCCATCATCTAATTTTTCTTTGATGAAGTGACGATCAACTTCCACGTGCTTTGTTCGATCATGATGCACAGGATTTTGAGCAATGCTAACAGCTGCCTTGTTGTCACAATATAGTTTTATTGGTAGGGAATATGAAATCTTCAACTCTTGAAGAAGTCTTTTCAACCAGATTCCTTCACAAACTCCATGAGCTAAAGCTCGAAATTCTGCTTCAGCACTACTTCTTGCAACCACTGTTTGCTTTTTGCTTCTCCAAGTAACAAGATTTCCCCACACATAGGTGCAATAGCCTGAGGTAGATCTTCTGTCTACTGATGAGCCTGCCCAATCTGCATCAATGTAGATTTCAATTGTCCTTTTATACCCCTTTTTAAAGAATAATCCTCTTCCTGGAGTATTCTTGAGGTATCTAAGCACCCTATAGACTGCACTAAGATGCTTCTCCTTGGGTGAGTGCATGAATTGACTAATCATACTCACCGCAAAGGCAATGTCAGGACGCGTATGAGATAAGTAGATTAGTTTACCAACCAATCGCTGATATTGTTCTTTATCCACCTCATTCCCATCTTCAATACCTAACTTGGTATTAGGTTCCACAGGTGTCTCAGCAGGTTTACACCCTAACATTCCTGTTTCCAACAAAAGATCTAGAACATATTTCTTTTGTGTTAGAGTGATGCCTGTTTTGCTCCTAGCAACTTCCATACCAAGGAAATATTTGAGAGTGCCAAGGTCTTTGAGTTCAAATTGAGCTGCTAGAAATTTCTTCAAGGTGTTCAATTCCTCAATATCATCACCTGTAAGAATTATATCATCTACATATACAATAAGAATAGCAATTTTACCATCCTTAGAGTGTTTGTGGAAGAGAGTATGATCAGTCTGTGCTTGAATGAAGCCTCTTCTTTTGACTGCTTGTGTGAATTTGTCGAACCATTCTCTGGGAGACTGTTTCAATCCATATAGAGACTTTTTTAGTTTACACACTGATTCATTTCCCTTTTCAAAACCAGGTGGAGGATCCATATAGACTTCTTCATGTAAGTCACCATTTAGGAATGCATTCTTCACATCTAACTGTTGCAGAGGCCAATCTAGATTGGCAGCAAGAGATAAGAGAACTCGGATGGTATTGACTTTAGCAACCGGAGCAAAAGTCTCATGATAATCTATCCCATGAGTCTGAGTGAAACCCTTTGCAACCAATCTTGCCTTGTATCTGTTGATGCTATTATCTGCATTGAATTTTATTGTAAACACCCATTTGCATCCTACTGCCTTTTTTCCTTTGGGTAGGGTCACTATCTCCCAAGTTCCATTTCTTTCTAAAGCATTCATTTCTTCAAAGACAGCATCCCTCCATTTTTTATCATTGAGAGCCTCATGTATATTTCTCGGTATCTTTGTACTATCCAACATAGTATTGAAAGCACGAAACCCTGGGGACAACTTTCCATATGAAATATGATTAGAAATAGGATGAGTAGTACAAGATCGAGTACCTTTTCTGAGAGCAATGGGCAAGTGTAGATCATTTTCACCATGACACTCAAGTATTGGGGTGCTGGAACTAGAACATGGTTCAGAATCCTGGCAGTGTAGAGGCTCTGGGTTATTCACACTTTGAGGAGGCTTTCGCCTGCTATAAACTTGTCCCCATTTTGAGGAGGCTCCTGATGGTGAGGATTCTGTAGCTCCCCCTGTTTCCAAAAGTAGAGGTAATACTGTGGCATTAATAGGTTCCCATGACTGATCTTCATCTACTCCTATAGACTCCCCCTGAAGAGAAGTCGAGGGGAAGAAAGGGTCATTCTCAGAAAAAGTGACATCCATAGAGACAAAGACCTTACGAAGAGAGGGTGAATAACACTTATAGCCACGTTGAGTAGGAGAATAACCAATAAAGACACACTGGAGAGACTTAGGATCAAGCTTAGACCGTTGATGGGAGGGAATATGGACAAATACAACACAACCAAATAACTTGAGAGGTAAGGAGGAGACACCTCGGAAGGAAGGGAAGATACGAACAAGACTAGAAAGAGGAGACTGAAATTTCAGAATGCGAGATGGCATTCGATTTATCAGATACGAGGCAGTGAGAACTGCCTCTCCCCAAAGATATTTAGGAACACTCGTGGTAAACATAAGAGCCCGAGCAACTTCAAGGAGATGTCGGTTTTTTCTTTCCGCAACTCCGTTTTGTTGGGGTGTGTCAGGACACGAGCTTTGGTGAAGGATGCCATGTTGGGAAAGATATTCTCCAAGAATAGAGTTAAAATACTCTTTGCCATTATCTGTACGAAGAATTTGTATAGCAACTTGGAATTGGGTTTGAACCATGGCATGAAATTTTTTAAACACGGATGCAGCATCGGACTTATCCTTTAGAAGATACACCCAACAAACTCGAGAATGGTCATCAATGAAGGTAATGAACCATCGAGTACCTGAAATATTTTTAACACGGGCTGGACCCCATATGTCGCTATGAATTAAGGAAAATGGGGAAGAGTCATGGTGAACTTTAGAAGGATAATGAGCACGAGTATGCTTGGCAAGTTGACAAATATCACAAGAAAACAAACTTGGACTTTTATTAATAAATAAGTTTGGCAACAACTTCTGAAGATAAATAAAATTTGGATGGCCTAGCCTACGATGCCACAGCATAACATCATTACATGAATCAAAAGGAAACATAGAGTTTTTTTCTACGAAAACAGCTTCATGAGTCACATCCTCCTCAAAGTAGTAAAGTCCACCATCCTCTCTAGCACAGCCAATCATCCTCTCCGAGTCCTGTTCCTGAAAAACACAACCATGTGGAAAGAATTTAGCAAAGCAATGCAACTCAGAGGTGAGCTTGCTAATGGAAATGAGATTACAAGTCAGAGAAGGAACATAAAGAACTGATGTCAAAGTAATCAGCTCAGAAAGTTTAATGGTTCCGTGTCCCGCAATCTGGGAAAAACTGCCATCGGCGATCTTGACCCGAGAAGATTCAGAATATGGAGTGTATGAACAAAATAAGCCAAGATTACCTGTCATATGATCAGAGGCTCCAGAATCAAGGATCCAATGATTTTGACTATCAACATGGAAAGTTGTACCTTGCTGGACCACATGACTAGTGGCCTTAGGAGGTTGCTCGTGGTAATAAAAAGAGTGTTTTGAGGAAGCCATGAATAAAAAGAGAAGGGTTGACCGTTGATGAAAAATCAAGTTTTGTAAACTTTTGATCTGACCTCTGGAACAGGAAGGGGAGAAGCCAGCGAGAAGGTCTGTGCAAGTCGCGACGGAAAAAAAACGTCTGGAAGGCGGCGCGTGGTGGCGCGTGCAGCGGCTGACGGCGATGGGTCCAGCGGTGGTCGACTCGTCGGATCCTTCTGAGTCGAATGGTCACCTCACTTTTTTGATCGGAGGTCAGTAAACTAGGTTTCTGTGTTGGACAGATTCAAGGCGGTGTTTAGGAGGTGTTTGACGGTGATGGAAGTGTTTGGATGGTTATTTCAGATTTGAATTAGGGTAGGAACGAACCCGCTCTGATACCATATTGAAAAGAAGTTTTTGTATATTGATATTGAATAAATTACATGAGTGAGTATTTATACAAGAAAGAATCGCTAAGAATGACTAAGCGATGACTAATCAATCCTATCACAATCCTAATCACAATCAATTCTAATCAATCACAATTAATCCTAATCAATCATAATCAATCCTAATCAATCATAATCAATCCTAATTAATAGGAAATAAAAACGGAAACATGTTTGAATTCTAATTTTCTACACTATTTTTGCAAACCATCCAACCATGCAAGTGCGACTCTATGAGCAGCAGGGTTTGTCAGTATTTAGAACTCTCATATATTAACCTTACTTTATTGCTTATGGCGGATGGTAATTTTAAGTATTAACACTAACGAATATCTTTAAATTTTGTATGAATCAGGGTATGAGAATGCAAGAACCAAAAAGCTTTTTGAATAATTCAGGTCAGCAAATTCCATTATATGTATTTAAGATTGTAAAAGCACCAAAATAGACTCATTCCAAAGGTGCTACTGAAATTGGTATGTTAAATGTGTTTATGGTTTAGACATGGTTACTAAAATTGGTTTTGAAGAGCACACATTAGTTATACATTTTTTTTTCATAGGTTGCCAAAGTTAAGAAGTATACGTGCTGAAGCATAAACTAAAATAGCATCGCTTATGGAATATGGGATGCAAAACACTACTAAATCAAGTTTTTTAAGGAGCCTAGAAATCCACTCAGAGACTATTTCAGAATAAGGAAGCACGTGGAAGTAATCGACAACTGGAGTTATCATCCAACTGCTAGAACTCCTTTTGACCAAAGGACCCTGCAAGCTACACAAAAAGAAGATACAAATGTTAGTCAGAAGCATATGCGGCATTCATTAACAATAAGTTTTACACAACTACAACTTCAAGGGCAATAGAATGCGCTTCTCTACTTACTGTAGACATAATTCTAAGATGTCCTATTACATACACCCTTAAGATAAGATTGTAAGTTTGTAACATTCTGGCCAACAAGTAGCCATTCTTTCCATCCAAAAACATCAGTGAAAAATATTTAAAAAAAAAAAAAAAATCAAAATGGAAGGTTAATATACCAGTTAATTCTCAAAGATTTATAAACTAGTTCATAACTTGATTCAGTAGTAAGACACATTGACGTGTAGTATGAATACAGGTGTATTTAACTTCACAGCAAAAAGGAACAGATGACTCCACCTCAATGCCTGAAAGAAAAAGGCACCACTTTCCTATCAATGAAAAAGGCCCTTGAGACTCAAGCCATCAGCCAATAGCAAAACAATAGCAACTAGAACGAACCTTTCAATTACATCTTTCAGAGGAACTTGAATAATCTCCTGATCGATCAACTGGGAGCACTGCATTATATAAAAGCGAGAAGCTTCCTTTTCTTTGCTCTGAGAATAGACAGTGTAGCTTTCCAAGAGCATGATATCAGTGTTATTGATACCTGTACCATAGCACAAGATATATATTCAATTATTTACGTATCAGAAAGCACCTGTTAAAACTAAAATAAAGAGATAATGATACATTAACTAATGGGTGCAAATATTTGATGTAATGATATTTTTAGTATAGAAAATAAAATTTCTTTAGGGAAAGAAGAAGGATAGAACAAAGTTTTGACACAATAATAATCAAAAATAGATAGAAAGAGTAACCCTAGGTATACAGCGTGATGCATGTACTATTGCATCCTTGTCATATTAACATCATCACTTGGTTAAATAAATTGTAAAGTGAAAAATCCTTAAAAATAAGAATGTCGCTTGACCTGAGATGCCAATTTATGCATAAAGACGTAAAGCCAAAACTAAACTATAACAGTTACCTGTGGCTTCCTTTACAGCAGAATACCCAACTTGCAGAAATCCAGCTTCATCAACATTCAATTCATCTATCACAGGCTTTCTAATGACTCTCTTCTTTTTGTACGTATATTTCGTTCTTGATGTAACTTCAGAACTTTGGCTGGAGGTATCCAGACCTTTTTCAACCACAGACCATACTCCCCTAGTTATGGAACCAAACAGCAAAAAGCAGAACTCCTTCTCACTGTCGATTAAAAGGATAGCAACTTTCGAAATGGGCCATCCTTCTATATTAGGATGCATCTAAACATTTACACACATCACATGCATCCATAATCATTTTTTCTGTTAATGATAGCTGCTTCTCCACATCAATGAGCTCTGCTTCATTGAACTTTTGCATGAATTGCATATATGCTAATAAAGGTGGCCTCAGAACCACAGCCAACTTGCAAAATTCATTAAATGGAAAATATGCTAGTTCTGGATGATGTTTTCGGTGGTAGTAGTTGTACAGTAAGACAACAGAATGCATCTAACACCAACAACCTCAAAAACAGAAAAATCAGTAACTAGAGCAGATAATACCCTCCACATGTATTCCTATAAATCTATAAGCATATATTTGCAGTACTTGTAATTTGTAAATCATAATGGAATTGGAACTTGGATTTTAATTTATTTTTTTTCATTTTTAATGACTTGCATGGGGAAAAACCTAAATGCACAGGAAAAGTACACAGAGGAGCCCTCTATGGAGAAATACAAGAACATTGTAGTTTTTAATGCACAAGATACATTCTACTAAAGAAAGTTTTAAAAATATAAAATGGTAAAGCAGTTCAGTTTATTTATTTGGGATTAATGTTTCTCATGTTGTAGAAGATTATCTCCTACACACACATAAAAGTGTGTGGGGCTCATGTTTTTTTTTGTCTCTTTTTTTCTCACATGGGCCTCACACACTTTTATGTGTGTGTAGCAGGAAAATTATCTCCTACGAAATGAGAAATACTAATCCCTATTTGTTTATTTGAATTGTTCTCGCCAAGTCCAAAATCAAAGATATCGCATCACAAGTGGCTATTATATAATCTGAAATGCAAGTAAAATGTCCTATTATTTAAAAATGCACTGTAAAGACTTGGATGGGATGTGTGATCTAGTCATCACAGCATTTCAAAAGGTCATTCCTAATATCTTGATTATAAAGAAAGAATACCAAATAGAAAGATATTTATTACTTAGAATACCGAGTTTTAATTAAATGGTGGTCTCTGTCAACTAAATTAAATTTTGTTTAAACATACCCCTCTGGAGTTAAGTAGATCAAATCTCATTAGCTATAGATTGCAAGTCATTTAAAACTAACTGGTTTCATTTCTGGGAGACTATTACTCTATGCTTTCTATGCTCCAAGCAGCCAAAACATAGAAGTAGTGTAACTAGAAACTGTACAGTAAGGAAACCATAAAGGTGAAAATGAAATCTCTTATATGCTATATAATTCTTTAAATCAACATCTCCAATACTCCTCCAAAAAAGGAACAAGACAAACCAAAAAGAGAAACAGCATAACTTAAACCAGCTTCCAAATAAATCACACAGTTTATATTTGGATTGATACAAAAGATTAAATGGCGCGAAAAAAGAAGACACCTGTTTTGCAACTGATTCCTGTTGAGAAGGTGTGGGATTATCTCGGACAAATGATTTTGCTGGCAGCAATGGATCAACCAAGTGTTCTATGAATACCTGAACTGCATCCTCAGTTGGACACACATCCAATAGAGCCATTTCTATCCAGTGATTTTCAGGGTTGTGCTGTCAAGTTGCCACATACATAGGGTAACCAATAAAAACACCAATTACTCTTGACAGAACAAGCTTGAAAAACAAGTGCATGAGTTCCTACGTTTCCTTGCACATGTGAGTGCAAAGAGGAAAAAACAAATTATCAACATTTCTCAAAACCTTAAAAAAAATGATACACAAAGAAAAAGGGGCACAAATTCTACCCGATTGAAATTTGAATTGTCAGGAAAAGTGACATTTTTGAAGCGCACACAGACACACCAAAAAATAAAAATAAAAACTTGGATTGGATATGCATAATGTATGATCCCCAAAAACCAAACTTTACCATGCATGCATTTCAGAAATGTTTCTACATTCTTAACAATGACCTTCTTTCCTCAAAACACAAAATGACATGAATATAAGATAAAATGTTTCTTCTTACCTGGCAATTTTGGAGTTGAATAGATGCTACACAGTCTTGTTTGAGTGGAAAGGCACCACCTTTTTGGTTTGCATGAATGGAACCTGTAAAACCCAAATGCATTTTCTGTTAAACATTAGAATCTGAAAGCAAAAAAACAACAAAAATAAAATAAAAAAATTGTTCCGTTTCAAAAACTTGGAACGCATAAAGAAAATCGAGAGCAAAGTGGAGCTGCGTGCTCACTGCTGGAGAAAGGGTCAACATGGTAAAGACAAATGACTCTAATCGTCACTACTCTTTCGTTCATATAGCAATTGATGAAGGCATTTGCATTTTAGGCAAAACGTAAGTAACACGCAAACTACTAAGTACTCTCAGAACAGAAGTAACCTTGACAAAACTTTCAGTTCTCTCTTTAAAAAAATATAAAATTATGTTATTTTAGTGCAAATGAACGTTATTAAAATCGGTCAGGATTATTGGTTCAATCAGTGTGTTATTAATTGAATCACATCATCCGGTAATTATATATAATTCTATAATTTATAGTAAAAAATTATAAAAGTATTTAAATATTTTAATATAAAAATTAATAAATCGCACATTATTATCTAATAAAGGATCAAACCAAAATACAATGATCTGATACGGGATTTCAAGTTCAGTAAATGATATTTTTGACTATAAATCAAATTAAAGTTTGCTGCATAGTGTATAATTGAGATAATATTAGTGTTGTAGGTACATAATCTATATAAGTCAATAAGCAAAAAATACTCAAATATGTCCATTTTTATAAAAAAAAAAATTAAATTGAAAAAAAAATTGGGACCTGACCTGGTCACCGGATTATCAGTTTTCATAAAAACTGGCCGGGTCACACCAATTCTGATGCGTGACAGGTTCATTGCTTCATCCAGACCGATTATAGCCGATTTACCGGTTCTCGGATCGACCCGGCTAGTCCGATTTTGATAACATTGGTCAAAATTATCAAATAGTAAGAGAAAATTAGCATGGGAGAAAGTAAGAATTTTAATTTTAAATATTAAATAAAAATATTAATTTTAACTAAAATGAAAACCTAGCAAATATTTTTCTCAATTATTTTTTTATACACATTTTTCTCAACTTTTATTGTTTTGAAACTTTCCGGTTTCCTAGACTGATTATTTGGACTGTTAAATTATACATATAAAATAGGGTTTAATATTTTCCAACGTGTGATAATTTTATTTTCTATACATACATAAAAATATATGGACTCATATGAAGAAAAGAGAAAGAAAAAAAAAAAGATATGGACACCATATATTTTTATTTATGTAGGAGATAATATCTCTCATAAAAAATATTAAGCCCTTTAAAATATGTTAAAAAGTTAATTTTAAGAAAATAATATTAATATGATATTATTATTTTTCGTTAAAACCCTTAAATTCTATTAAATTTAGGTTATTTTATATCATGCATTGATTAAAGGGCTCATTTAATCTCATGCGGTAGTAAACAATATTTTTCATGTTGCATACATATATGTGATGGTACCCGTCAATTTCAAAAAAAAAAGTATCACAATTTTTGATGAATATGTTCGAAGATAAAAATATTCTCATATTGCGGCGTGAGAGTAGTTTTTCCCTTTAAATTAAGGAAATGTGTATACTTTTTTATTTTTTGATAGCCAGAAATGTGTGTACTTTTTCCCTTTTTATCGTGAGAAGCCGAGATGTGATCTTTCATGAGCATGAGAACATTCATGACATCTCGAAGCCCAAAGTTCGAGTTACTGTCAGACGAGAAGAACCCAATCCTCCTGTCCAAGCTGAAGCAGGGGGAGAAATGAAGAAAATGATGATCAGCAACAAGCTGAAGATGACCAATACATTGAGGTCCGAGTTGATGATGAGATCCAGGATGAGAATGATGAACCGGGTTCTCAAGCTGAAGAACAACCGAGATATCCAACTCGAGAAAGAAGACCCTCTATGAGATACCCATCTGATGAATACACCGTTGTTGCTCAAGACGGTGAGCCTCAGAGTTATGATGAGGCTGTGACGAGCTCAGAGAAAGAAGAATGGGAAAAGGTAATGCAAGACGAGATGAAGTCCCTGCACGAGAATCAGACTTATGAGCTGACTGAGTTGCCGAAAGGAATGGGCAGAAGCCAAGATACAAAGCCCGGATTGTGGTGAAAGGCTACAATCAGAAGAAAGGAGTAGATTTTGAGGAGATTTTTTCTCCTGTGGTGAAAATGACCTCGGTCCGAACCGTGTTAGCCATAGCGGCTTCGATGGACCTCGAGGTAGAACAAATGGATGTGAAGACGGCATTTCTTCACAGTAATTTAGAAGAAGAAATATATATGGAGCAACCTGAAGGATTCCAAGCTCCAGACCAAGAAGACTTGGTATGTCGGTTGAAAAAGAGCCTCTATGGCTTGAAGCAAGCACCTCGGCAGTGGTACACGAAATTTGAATCATTCATGATTAATCATAAGTTTGAGAAGACAGAAGCCGACCACTGAGTATTTGTGAAGAGGTATGAGGCCGGAGATTTTTTGATCTTGTTGTTATATGTTGACGACATACTGATTGTAGGGAAAGACAAATCGTGGATAGCCGCCCTGAAGAAGGCGTTGAGCTCGTCCTTCGGAATGAAGGACCTAGGCCCTGCAAAGCAGATTCTCGGAATCAAGATTATCCGAGATAGACAGAAGAAGCTATTGTGGCTGAGTCAAGAGAAATATATTGAGAAGATTTTGAAGAGATTTAGCATGGACAAAGCCAAAACAGTGAGCACCCCCCTAGCCGGACACATAAAGCTGAACCAGGAGCAATGTCCGAGATCTGATGAAGACAAAGATGAGATGATGAAGTTCCCTTACCAATCCGCCGTCGGAAGTTTGATGTATGCAATGGTTTGCACTAGACCCGACTTGGCATATGCTGTTGGAATGGTAAGCCGGTATTTGTCAAACCCCGGCAAAGAGCACTGGGAAGCAGTGAAATGGATCTTCAAGTACCTTCGAGGTACGACCGACTTATATCTCTGATTTGGAGAAGGCAAAGCCGAGTTGCAAGGCTACTCGGATTCTGATTTAGGGGGAGACGCCGACTCGAGGAAGTCGACTATAGGATATTTGATGAGATTTGCCGGAGGAGTTGTCTCTTGACAATCAAGACTTCATAAATGTGTTGCACTATCGACAACTGAGGCTGAGTACATTGTCGCTACTTAGGCAAGCAAAGAGATGTTGTGGATGAAGAAGTTCCTCATGGAACTCGTCCATGATCAAGACAAGTACGAGTTGGATTGTGACAATCAAAGAACAATCCATCTTGCAAAGAATTCAACCTATCACTCCCGCACTAAGCATATTGATGTGAGGTATCACTGGATCCGGGATATGGTGGAAGGTGGAGAGCTCGAACTCGTCAAGGTGCACACTGACCAAAATTGGTCTGACATGATGACAAAGCCGGTTCCAGCAAGAAAATTTGAAGACTGATGTGAAGGAGCCGGGTTAATGCTGAAGCCGACGCATTGAAGTCAGAGGGAGAGATTTGTTGGGCTTCCTCCTTCAATGCTAAGCCCAAGCCCATTTGAGGGGTTTCCTAAATAACCCTAATTTCCACCTCCTCTATATATACTCATTAGTTGTGGGTGGAGGCTAGGTCAGATTGAGAGAAACAATTTGAGAGAGAAAAATTATTTGATTGTTTGAGTAAAGCTTTATGCTTTGCATTTGAGAGATCTCTAGAGAGAGTTTGAGTGAAACATCTCTAGGGTAGTTTGATTATCACCATTGTTGGAGAGATTGAGTTAACCACCACATTGGTGTATTTGATTCTTTGTAACCATTATTTTCGTAATGGATTTTTGATCTGAACAAGGTCCCGTGAGTTTTTACTTCTTCATTGGAGAAGGTTTTCCCATGTTAAATCTGGTTGTGTTCTTCTTCTCTCTCTCTCGTTTTGTGATTTTTCGTTTTTGATTTTTCCGCTGCGCTGCCTGACCTGGTGAAATTCAGGCCGAGGTATTGCCGAGATCCGAGATCAGGATCTTGTTGATTGACTTCCGCACAAAGGCTGCTTAGCCGAGTTAGAGGGAACCGAGTTTTCCCAACAATTATAATGGGGAATAATGATTCTGATTCTTTTGAGATTATTTCACCTAAATCTTATGCGTAAAGATCTGGTTTGTTGAAACATCAAAGAAGTGCTCTGAAGAAGATGCGAACGAATGAGTATTGAAAGATGTCGAACGAAGTGAGAGTAAAAATATTCGGAAAGTTGGTTTTTTTTTTTCAAAAGAAAAAATATTTGTTAACTAGTTGTATCATTTTATTCTTATAAAAAGATGAGACTTGCATCTTTATTTTTTTGCTTTCCGCTCTTTCTAATGATTTATTTATTTCTATCATTTAAAATAATATATTTTATATTTTTTAAGATGACACATATTTTTCTATTTTTCAAAAGTCAAAATTTGTAACTTTTACAAAAAGCATGATTTTAATTTTTTTATTAGCTTTTGTTTTTCTTTTAAAGTTGTTATCCAAATACCATAAAAATTTGAGAAGTATTATCGACACCAAGGAATAAAAGTTGTTTAGGTAAACCGCAAGGTGTAGTTTAATTGACAAGCCAATTGTAGTTCAAGGGTCTCACTTTAGTGATCGATAAAGTTATGAGTTCGATTTTTACGAAAAATGTTTTTTGGACAATGATAAAAACCTTCTCGTTACAAATCATAAAAAGATTAGTCTTATTTTACGAGATAAGGATATCATCAGTTAACTAAAAAAAAGAAATTGTTTAAGTATGAATTCCTTCTTACAATTCAATATTCTCACATATTTGGTTCGGTTCTGTTCTTTTAGCCGAATGAATTAAACTATAAAAGATAATTAAGTTTGGGAATCTAAACAGGAAAAACGAATATAATTTGAAGAAATGAACAGATTTATTTTTTTAAATCAGCTATGAATTGATACAACAACTATATATAAATATTAGACTGAAAAATTATAGTTCAATAAATTAGATCAGACATAGTAATTGTCCAAATA